CTTGAACGTCCGTTAGAGGGGTCGGACGTCTACTGTATTATAGACGTCCGGCCCCGTCTAGGACGGACGTCTCCACACTCAATTATTTACATTTATGCCACCGGTCAATTATTTACGTTGGGGTTTTGGTGGACGGACGTCTATGAGGTGACGTTAAAGATCAATTTTGCACTAGTGTTTTATCCTTGTATTGGGTAGATTTTTATTTAGATACACAGTGGGTGCTAGATATTCTTACCCTTGTGTTGAGTTGTGAATTCTTGAAATACAACCTCTAAATAATGACATTTTAGCATTGAATAGAGGATGAGTATAGAGGACTTCTTGTGTCTGGTGTTGGTAAAAAGTAAGTAGCAGTGAGATATTGTAAAATATGGTTGTATAAATAATAATAATTGGTGTTAGTTTGATATGCTCTAATTGGGTAAAAAATCCTGAGACTATCCTTCACCACACTTTGAGAGAGCGACAAATCATTGTACAGGAAAAATTAAGTGCATTACACTTAGGATAAAGATAAACAAAATAATATTCAATTAATGACATTATCTCATACCAAACAGCACACTCAAAACGTTGTATATATATCATACTAACTAAGCTGGATAATGAATATGAGTAAGGTGGCTATGCCTATATATATATATGCTCTAGTGTGAGTGGTAGATGAGTGTGGCTGGATAAACAATGGCTTCTATAGAATGGCTACAAGAACAACTTACCATAGCTTTTCTTTCTTCTACTTGTTATCCATATTTTCTCTTCTTTCTTCTTGCTGTTGCTGTGTTGAAGCTAGCAAGAAGATCAAAAAACAAAGCCAGTTTCAATCTGCCTCCATCACCAAGAAAGTTACCAATCATTGGCAATCTTCATCAGATAGGCACATTGCCATACCGTTCTTTCAGTTCCCTCTCACAAAAGTATGGTTCTCTTATGTGGTTGCAGTTGGGGCAGACTCAGACTTTGGTGATTTCATCAGCAGATTTGGTGAGGGAAATCATGCAAAATCATGACTTAACCTTCTCAAACCGACCCAAAATCACAGCAGCCAGGTACATACTGTACGGAGGTAATGACATTGGTTTTTCATCCTATGGAGAAAGCTGGAAACTGAAAAGAAAAATATGTTCCCTTGAACTTCTCAGTGCCAAAAGGGTGCAGTCATTTCGCCTCATCAGGGAACAAGAGGTTGCAGAATTGGTCAAAAAGATAGGCAAAGCAACCTTGACAGAAGAATTTTCTGTGAATCTAAGTGAGTTGCTTCTTGAAGTATCAGACAACATCATCTGTAAATGTGCTCTTGGACAGAAGTACAATAGCAGCAGGGTCAAAGAGCTTGCAAGGAGGTTGATGATTCAACTTGGAGCTGACACTGTGGGGGATTACTTTCCCTTGCTCAGTTGGGTTGATTTTCTGAATGGAAAAATTCAAAAATTCAAAGCCATTTTTGAAGCATTTGATATCTTTTTAGATGAGCTAATTGAGGAGCATAAGAAGGTTCAGAGGGAAGCTGATCACCGCTCCACTGAGAACGGCTTTGTGGATATCCTCATCCAATATCAGAAGAATGCCATGCCTGATTCTGAGCTCACCAATGATGACATCAAATCAATTATAATGGTTTTCCTCCTATTCTGTTCTATTGCCTTCTTTTTATTGTTTTTCTCAAACACTTTAACTGACTCACTTACTATCCAAGGTAGAACAAATTACAAAGCTTTCTCAATCCAAATTAGTTTTTCATGGGATGAAATGAAATTACTTGCCAGTTGATAATGGCAAGTTGACACTTTCAAGGACTAATCTATAGATAAGCATCTTGAGAGATAAAAAAATTACATGTTTTTACTTCAGACCAAATGGAATTTTTGTATCTCAAAGAAAAAGGTGAAGTTCAGAATTATTACTGATACTATTTTTACTACTTCAGGATATGTTTTCAGCAGGAAGTGACACAACTGCCTCAACACTAGAGTGGACTATGGCAGAGCTGATGAGAAATCCAACGAAGCTGAAGAAAGTTCAGGAAGAGGTGAGAAAAATTGTAGGGAATAAGTCAAAAGTAGAAGAAAATGACATAAACCAAATGGACTACATGAAATGTGTAGTGAAAGAAACTCTAAGGTTACATCCAGCTGCTCCACTCTTGGCTCCAAGAGAGACAGCATCTGCATTGAAACTCAGAGGATATGATATTCCTCCCAAAACACTGGTATATGTGAATGCATGGGGGATTCAGAGGGACCCTGAAATCTGGGAAAGGCCTGAAGAGTTCATTCCAGAGAGACATGCTAATAACCATGTTCCTTTGAAAGGCCAATACATTCCATTTGGTTTTGGGAGAAGGGCATGCCCTGGAATGACCTTTGGACTTGTTAATGTTGAGTATACACTGGCCAACCTTCTTTATTGGTTCAATTGGAAGCTACCTACATCTCATTCTTCTGCACAAGACATAGACATGACTGAGACATATGGGCTTATTACCTCCATAAAAGTGCCACTTCATGTCAAACCACTTCCCTTTCAACCAAGTTTCTAATTTACTATGAAGTCATTTATGCTGTCATTGATCTTTGCTGCTGTGTAATGAGTGTGCTAAGTGGTGTTGTTGTTAAGTATGTACTCATGTTTAGGAAGATTTGTTGGGAATCCAAGTGTGAGTCTAAATCCATATTAGATAGAAATGAAAAAGTAGAGCACTATATAAAGATGAAAGAAAGTTAGTTTATTGTCTTAAGATTTTTGGTAGACATTAGTGTTAATCCCTTATATGGTTGAATTCAGATGTTATTGTTGTTTGTGTCTGTTCCATGTACCTGTTCTTTAATAGACCCAATAAGATTATATTATATATGTCTTATTTTATAAATGTTATTTCCTATATTCTCATTTACTACTTGATGAAGGAAAACTATTGCTTCTTAGCTTTTTTTTGCACGTTAAATTTTCTAGTTTTGTTATCTGGAGCCTTTGATTATTTCACTTTTCCTTGCCTGGTTGACATTATGCAGACATATTGTGATATGTCAGAAGCTTGAGTTGCTATTAAAATGAAAGGTGTTCTAAAGGGACAAAGCATGATTAATTATAGAGAGCATGATTGAAAAAAGTGCTATTCTTGTTAAGCTTTTGTTTTCAAATAAATGAAGATAAATTTTTAAAATTTCTGCATGATTAGAAACACTATTATA